AATCAAGCTGTTAAATATTGATGCAAAAATATTGAAAATAACTCTGCCATGTAGACTACTGATACTACATTCAATTATCCATCCTGCACAATCTGGCTTATCGGATGCTTGGAGGTCTTTTATAATACTAAATTACTAATTGGTATTCTAGATGCACATTCAGAAAACTTAAAAGGAGTGATGGTCTCTTTGATTGCAGACAAGGCCTTTGATATGGTTCAGTGGAGTTTTCTAAAAAAATAAAATGAATAAATATAGAATTCCTACTTGTCAATTGGATAAATGTTTTTTATTCTATTGCTAGAGATAATTACATATTGACTTATTTCTTCATCTGTTAATGTATTATATTAACTTATTTTTAAAAATCCTTTATCACTTTTTACTTTGGAACAATTGACCAGTCTTATTAACCAATTACAGTAAATTTTAATAGCATATAGAAAAAAATAATGTTCAAAAAAGTTGAACATATTCTAAAATATTGAAAACTATGAGGTATTAAGAAATGTTTGGCACTGGAGCAATCTTCCCCTATGCTGAAATCAAAAACTATTTCTGAATAATCAGTGAGAGCTAATTATATTAAAATACTGTATTCCATTGCGGCAACTGTCTTCCACAAAGCCTAATTTTTTTTAAAAAAACAACATCCAAACAGTATGAAATCTAAGGCATTGTTGTGTTGAGATGTTCAGCTCCCTTGCTCAGTATATGAAGCTTGAAACACTGTTCAGACCTTCTCCGCTCTTTCTCTCATGTGGGCCCTTTCCTCATTTAGAAAAAAGAGTCATTTGCTATTTAAACAGTTTTATGTTCTGTTGGTTGAAAAACACTTCTTTAGTTGGTACACAACGCCAGAGAAATTAGAATATATAAAGGCATTTCCAATATATATTGGAGATGTGAACAAGAGATGTGCTTGGTGATAGGTTAAAAACAATTTTAAAAATTGATTCAAATACGTAATATTGAAACAAGATTTTAAGAATAAGGTATTCTGTGTACCTCTATATATAGTCGTGCTGGTCACATGACCACCAAAGGGTCTTCGGACAGCGCTGGCTACCTCAACTAAGAAACATGCATACCACTGAGTCAAACACAACTGAGCAGGAAAAACCTTTGCCTTTACCTTTATGCAATTGAAGCCAGAACATTTTTTAGTTGATGGATTTATTTATTTATTTAGCATATGGCAAAAATGTTAAATAGCATATTCTTAAGCAATTGAAGAGTCATGGAAGAATATTTCAATACATGATTATTGCAGCAAGAATATTACATGTGCAGATATGGAAACACTTGGCAGAACCAATTGTAGAGGAATAATTGACAAAATTAACAGATCTTGCTGTTAATGGCTAAAGTAACTTGTTTGATTAGAAAAAGTCAGTATCTACATTCATTGACTGGAAACCCTTATGGAGATTTTGCTTAAAATTAAAAAAATGAATAGAGATATAACTTTAGAGTAGTGCTGTAAAACTCGCAGCCTGTGACCCGGATGCGTCACGCGCTGGCAATGCCCACGTCTGGTTTTGCAAAGGGGGGAAATAGTCCCAATATGTCACGTGACACTGCCCTAACGACATGAGTTTGACACCCCTGTTTTAGAGAAGGGTTAAAATATAATTGTTTTTGCTATGAGGTATATCAGAAGCCACTGTTTACGTCTTTATATTTTTCTTTCTGTCTTGCTCTTTTTAAAATTTTCTTATTGCACTTTTATTTTTTTCTGTTCTTTTAAATATTTCCTGCTCTAATTTAGTTTGTTGTATTCTTATTGTTCTTAAAGCTTTACAACAATAGTTTGGACTTTAATTTCTATTTATATATAAAAAGAAAAGTATTCCCTTAGAATATAGCTGTAATACAAAAGTCTATAGCAGTGTGAAAAATATGAACTACCATATTTTTTTGGAGTATAAGACGCATTTTTTGCCTTCAAAAAAGAGGGTGAAAATCTGGATGCGTCTTATACACAGAATACAGCATTTGTAGCCTCCTAAAACCCCACTTTTGCAAAAATGGCCATGCATAGCCTTTAGGAGGCTTCCAGAGTGCTCCTGGGGGCTAAAGAGGGCAAAAATGAGTGAAAAATGGACCGTTTTGTGCTTGTTTTCCGCCCAGACCCCAGGAGCAATCTATAACCCTCCCAAAGGTTATGATTGCCCTTTGTTTTGATGAAAAATGGGCCGTTTTTGGGAGGTTTGTAGAGTGCAAAACCTTTTTTAAAAATTTGCCTCTTCAAAATCTTGGTGCGTCTTATACTCTGAAAAATACGGTAAGTAATCATTCAGAAGTGTAGTCAAATATAAAAAGCTTTGACGTATTAGAGCACTAACTTCAAAATTCTGCTCTGAAGTTTCAAGTGAAAGGAGATGCTTATAGTACAGTATAGTGAATATGGAGAACATGTTTGGTTTTCATTGCCTGGCCTGTGGTGATTTCAGCACCCATTTACTTAGTACATGTGAATGCAAGGAAAAAGAAGGGCTTACATTCCAAAAGATTTCAATGATTATAGAGCATATACCTTACAGCGTCTCTTTCGCTATTTAATTTTCTGTTGTAAGAAAAGTGCTGCTCATAAGTCATAGGAAAGAGACACTAATTATACCTCATTTGCAAGTATGAAATGGCTATCAAGAGCCCTTTCAGCTGAAGAAGAAAGAAACCAGTATTTTAAAAAGCAAATTCAATTTGCAATCTAGATGTGGAGAAATGCCATAGGTATGTTTTATATAGAGGAAGCAGCATTCTTACACAGAGGAAGATCACACATTGACTCTTATTTAGTTCACAAAATAATCTTGAATGGCAAGAGGTGGGAAATAAATTTATTTTGATCCTACAAAAATTTGCCAGTTGATGTAGATAGCACTTGGTAAAGCAGGCAGCATTTTGATTCATTGTAATTAATCTTTATTCTTATATCACAAGTATATAATCAGCTCTAGTGGTTAATTTCAGCAGAATATTGCATGATCTTGACTAAGAATTACCATTTCACAGTAAAATTGGAAAATATGAGTTAAAACTTCACTCAGGAGTGGAGGCAGGGTAGATAGCAAATCAATTCTCTGATCAAAGTAGGAAACCCAGAAAATACTTGTAAAATTTACCTCTGCTATGTAATGTACCAGGATATATGAATGTTATTATTAGAAATTGTGTGTCACCTTAATAAACATTTTTTTCTTTATCTAAAAGAGAGTTAACCAACAGTTAGCCAGGAACATGACATATCTAATTGATGCCATAATAGTAAATCACAAGCATTGGACTTAGCTTAGAAAAAATAAGGTAAAATTTTCTTATGAAACATCATCATAGAAATAATGTGTTAGTTTTAGAGAAAGCTTTCTCATTATTTGAATCTTTAGGACAAATTATGTAAATCTCATAACAATAATATAAATTACTGTTGCCAGGAAGATAAATCATAGGGAAGGCTTAAGATGTGTAAAAAAAAAACTTTTAAATGCTATTAAATGACCAGGTGAACGAATATACTTGATTTGGCACCTAAGGCACAAACATCACATACTTAATTTTTTTTTAAAAAAAAATAACTTTTCAATTAAAGAAAAATCTGCCTTGAGACTGTGATTCAATTTCCTGCTGATTTCTAGTCACTACAGTTATTTCCTTCTAGGGGTACTAAAGGGAAATCATAGCAGCCAAGAAAATATTTTTGGTATAAGAAGTTTTGCATGAAGTTAAGCAAATATAATTATGGGATGAGCTCTCTAGCCAAGAAGGCACATAACGTTTTATTGAGGTGTTACAAGCTCTTATGATGCTATATTGTTTAAATACTGCAGCCCTGTGTATCTGGCTCTGATGTGTATGGAAAAAATAGCTCTGATAGGCGTGCATTGATGTAAGAGTAACTAGGAATAGTTTTTCAAACAGAAATGCCCAGGTGGACTATGTATCCCACTGTTCACAGAGATCTACATCAGCAATGAAAAGCAATGAAAAGTTACTATTTTTCTAGAGGAGCAGTTTATCCCTGCTGCAATTAAATTATTTGCAACTAAAGCCCAAGCGCTGTTGCTACACAGAACTCATATATAACTATGTAACAGTATGAACAGCGGCCCAGTGTACCCTGTGGCGGAGATGGCAGCATAAAAATTAAATAAATAAATGATCAAATAATCACCTTCCTGGGAAACAGTGATTCAAAAGACACTGAATTTGTATGGTTTTGCCAATGAGGCCATCTTAACCTTCAAATTAATCAAGTTAGATACAGTACAAAGATATAGAAGGTCAAGGATTGCTACTTTCAATCACAATATAATTCCAAATAATTTTAGTGACTAAAACAGGCAGTACTAAAGGGACATTTACTGCCAGTTGATAACCCTTCTTTTATTTATATTTGCATGGCACTTTGATAGCTTTTATCTGCACTATCTTTAAATATAAAATATATATTTATTTCTCTAAAAGTAACACATTTTACTACCTTATGTGTAACCTTTGCCCACAAATGGTTGCTAATAGTTCTTGTTGTTAGGGAATAGTTTTACATTGTCATTTTACTGATTGTACTTTTATCAATCAATGACCGAAAAAAAATATCTATCTGCTTATGTATTTGGAGAACATGGAGGAAACATTTTTTTTCTGTTAAGGAATTACAGCATTCAATACATGTCTGCTTCTGATTTTATCAAGCCATGTTCAGTTTTTGTTTTTATTGTTTATGGTTTTTGTGCAGGTTGCTTTAGTCTTATATAAATGTGTTGATTTGATTTTATTCTTTATGTAAGCTGCTGAGAGCCTCTGGATTACAGTGGTGTAGAAAATAAATGTCAATCAGCTTTCCTAACTTGAGTATCTGAGGCAACATGGTCCATTACTAAAAAATTCCACATGTTAAATCAATACATCTGAGAGTGCTTGGATTGCCGAAGACTGGTGTAAATATTTCAGATACTTTGATGTATATCTGTATATCTTTATGTTTTCTTTTCCTTCAGAATTATCTTCAATGTCTTTTGAGAAGCTGTTACAAATGAGAAACCAAGTTGGGATGAAGGCTTATGAGCAAATGACATCTAAGAAAAGGCCAACAGATGTCACAAAAACAAAGAAGAGACCATGTTTGAGCAAAAACAGGTAAACACAACTTCTGCTATGTATGTCTAAATTCTGTACATTACTACCCTGTTTCCCTGAAAATAAGACCTCCCCATATAATAATCCCAATTGGGCTTTTGAGCACATATGCTAAAATAAGCCCTCCCCTGAAAATAAGCCCTCCCCCCAAAATACTGCAACACAGCAGCAACCATGCTTGCTGCCTCCTACATCTCAAAAATAATAAGACCGCCCTGAAAATAAGGCTAAGCGCTTATTTCGGGGGTCAAAAGAAAATATTCACCCCCTTCAACTTTATTTCAGCATGGAGATTCGACATCTGAAGGGGTCACGCCCTCGCCTAGAGGCACATTCCAGCTGCCATATGGATGACAATAGACCAACCACTAGCAAGGCTAAAGCCAAGACATCTCACAAACGATCATCTACTGCTCCTGACAACCATTTATCTAGATGTCAGAAGGCATTGGAAAAACAATTTGACAAGGCCCAAAAGGCTTCAATGCACCAAGCAAGTACTTCCGCTGCTGTTTCCTCTCCTTCACCAAGTAAGGAGAGACGTGACTTCTCTCTGGATGCACTACCTGAGCCCCCAGCATTACAGGCGACTTGCTTGGAAGACACCGTTGCCCCATTTGATTGCTTTCCCACAACCGGGGAAAGCGCTGAGGAACCATCCAGCACACCGATGACCTCGGCACCTACCTCCCAAGCAGAGGGTCTCTGTCCTCCAGCGGCCCCAAGCTCTGGTGTTACTCAAGAAATGTGTAACTACCTATCTGAGGTCATCATTCAAGGGATAAAGGCAGCATTCCCATCTGATCCAACACCAGCTAGCAAGCACAATCCAACAGCCAAGGATCAACTAGGCCTGCAGGAACATAATTGTTCCTGTCGTTCCATTACCAATGATTGCTACCTATCAGGGGAAGAGGAGGTTGATGAAGTAGGATTCTCTGAAGATGAGGACTTAGAACCTAGCAAACCCACTTTCGCCGGTCTGTTTAATCCATCCCGGTTTAAGACTATCCTGCATAAAGCTAAGTCTGTGACAAACATGGGATGGGCGGAAGGTTCCGTACCTCCTCGTACGATTCCTATTGAATGGATGTTCACTGGGCCACCCGCTGACCTACATTGCATTCCTTCCCCACCATTGTTTAGGGATACAATCCAGGACCAATGGTCTGAACCGGGTTCGGTCACTTCTCCTAGTGGCTCTGACTGGCGTCTCTATAATGTGGCTCCTGAATTGGAAAAGCTGCTTCAATGGCCCAAGATTGATGACCCTGTAGCAGCTCTTACATCTCCATCCATCGTTCCCGCCTCCGATTACATGGAGAGCCTGAATCTAGAGGATAAAAAGGCAGAAGCTTCCTTCCGCAAAACCCACCTAGCCTGCGCATGGGCTATTAGGGCTGCTACAGCAGCCTCTTTCTTTAATAGGGCATCCCTAATTTGGCTCCGCCAAATATTAGATAGGATTCCCCCAGAGGACAGTAGGCTTCGCTGGGACATTAACAAATTGGTGACAGCCACTGAATATTCGGCCGACGCCACCTTAGACGCTGCCAAATTTGCCTCTAGGGCCTTGGCCTCCAATGTTACATCTCGTCGGATTGCTTGCCTTCGCCACTGGGAGGCTGACATGCTTTCGAAATGGCATTTGGCGTCAGCCCCCTTCAAGGGGGGCAACCTGTTCGGTGACGCTCTAGATCCAGTACTGATTGAGAACAAATATAAAAAGAAAGTCTTACCTTCCAGCAATAGGAGAGTGGACCGTAGATCTTCTCCTTATGCTCGCAGACAGCGATTTCAGTCTGCTGACACTGGATTCCCTGACGGGAATGGAGCCAACCGTCCCCAGCACAGGCGCTCCTTCCGGAATAGAGACAGGCAATAGCCCTACTCCAGAAGACCCTTTTGAGGAGCTAGTAAGCGACCCTTTCAGAAATCCAAGTGACTCCCAATTAGACATTCATTCATCGCTCTCCAGAGGCTTCAGGAGGTTTCCCTGAAGCCTCCTGAGGATGAAAAACAGCCCAATGTACAAAGTGGAAGTTTGGGAACAGACTTCCAGTTTGCGCATTGGGCTATTTTTGCCCTCCGGAGGTTCAGGGAAGCCTCTGGAAAGCGAAAAACCACCCAACACGCAAACCGGATTCGGGAACGGACGTCTGGACCTCTGGTTTGCGGGTTGGGCTATTTTTTACCCTCTGGAGGCTTCAGTAAAACCTCCTGAAGACTCCAGAGGGTGAAAAATAGCCCAACCCGCAAATCGGAAGTTTGGGGAAGGACTTTCGGTTGCACATTGGGCTGTTTTTTGCCTCCTGAAGACTCCGGAGGGAGAAAAACAGCCCAATGGGCAACCTGGAAGTCTGTTTCCGAACTTCTGGTTTGCGCATTGAACAGTTTTTTGTCCCCCTGAGGCTTTAGGAAAACCTGAAGCCCCTGTAGAGCGAAAAACCACCCAACACGCAAACCGGAAGTTCAGACGTCTGGTGTGTGCGTTAGGCTGTTTTGTGCCCTCTGGAGGCTTCAGGGGAGCCTCCAGAGGGAGAAAAATGACCCAATGGGCAACCCGGAAGTCCGTTCCCAAACTTCCAGTTTGCGTGTTTGGCTATTTTTCACCCTCCGGAGGCTTCAGGGAAGCCACCAGAAGCCTCTGGAGGGAGAAAATCAGTCCAATGGGCAACCTGGAAGTCCTTTCCCGAACTTCCGGTTTGCCTGTTGGGCAATTTTTCACCTTCCCCAGACTCCTAGAAAGCCTCTGGAGCCTGAGAACTGTGAAAAAAACGGACCTACCGGGCCCACCGGAAATCAGATAATGGGCCATTTCTGACTTCCAGAGGGCCTCTGGGGTGTGGGGCAGGCCATTTTCGCCCTCCCCAGGCTCCTAGAAAGCCTCTGGAGCCTGGGGAGGGTGAAAAACGGACCTACTGGACCCATCGGAAGTCGGAAAAGGGGCTGTTTCCGGCCTCTGCGGGGAGGCATTTTCACCCTCCCCAGGCTCCAAGAAAGTCGTGCCCCTGCGCTAGGCAGCTCACGCGCACATGCATATGGGCACGGCGTGGGGGTCATTAAATTATGGGGTGGGCATGCGAATGCACGCGATAATGCATGCACATGCTTCTGGCTCCCAAGGCAAAAAAGGTGTGCCATCACTGCCTTAAACTTTACCTCCCTTCCCCCTCATCACTTTATCCAGTGTCTTACCCCAAGGAGACCATTCAAGGGGGACCTCATTGTGGCAGAAATTCATCACCTATTGGATATCACGGTGATAGAACCGTTCCAAGGGGTCACAAAAGGACAGTATTCTATTCAATTCTGTTCCTTGTCCCAAAGAACTCGGGAGAGTGGAAAGCAATTTTGGACCTAAAGAGGCTGAATGTACACATAGAGTACAAACACTTCAAAATGCAATTCCTCTGATCCATCCTCGCTTGCATTTGAGAAGGGGATTTCCTCACTTCCATAGATCTCAAGGTGGCATATTTGCATGTTCCCATTTGCCCATCCCACAGGAGATTCCTGGGGTTCTGTTATGCAGACCATCACTATCAGTATAGGGCCCTTCCATTCAACCTCTCAATGGCTCCCAGGACTTCACCAAACTGTTGGCAGTGATTGCAGCCCCTCTCAGGTCTGTCCAATACATCTGGAATGTTAGCTGGACAACATCTTGATCCAATCGGATGAACTAGAGAACAACGCCAACTGGCTGGAACTCAAGGCAGCCCATCTGGCCCTGCATCGTTTCCAGGAGAAGCTATCTGGTCACCATGTTCTCCTGCTGACGGATAATGTAGCCACCAAGGCACATGTGAACTGTCAGGGCAGCACCCACTCCAGGGCCCTGATGCACAAAGCAAAATGCTTGGGCCTCTGGGCAGAAGGTCACATCCTCTTCATACAAGCGGAACATATATCTGGAACAGCCAATGTTCAAGCAGATTGGATGAGCAGGACAACAATCGACTATTTGGAATGGCACCTCCATCCGGATCTGTTCCAGAACATCTCCCAGAGGTTCAGCCGACTGTTAGTAGACCTGTTCGCCACTCCGGAGAATGCTCAGCTGTTGAGATTTTTCTCGAGGTACCAGTCTCCAGGAGCAGAAGGCATTGACACCCTACACAGCCATTGGCTTCATGGCCTCTTGTACGCCTTTTCCCCTCTTCCTTTCCTCTCACAAGTCATCAGCAAGCTGAATACAGAGAGGATGGAGGTACTCCTGATAGTACCTCATTGGCCGAGACACGCCTGGTTCACGGACTTGATCAATCTATCCGGATCATGCCCCTGGAAAATACCCGAAGACAAGATCTCTCTCAGCCAGGGGGTACTGGACCATCCAGAATTGCAGTGGCTCCAGTTAACCATCTGGCACTTGAGAGGGACCTCCTGAGAAAGAGCAGCTTCTCCGAGGCTGTTATTAAGACTATTTAAGCATCCAGACCAACGCCTACCAACCGGATTTACAATGCGACCTGGGCTGCATTCAGCAAATGGTGTACCAGGATGCACATCAACGCTCTCTCGGCTTTCACTCCTCATGTCCTGAACTTTCTATAGCATGGACTGAACAGGGGCCTGTTTCCCAACACCCTCCGGAGGCAGGTAGCTGCCTTATCCATCATTCTATCGGGTGAGGGCACCAATTCTCTCTCGCAGCATCCACGGGTGCGTAGTTTTCTGAAACGGGCAACCAATCTCTGGTCACCAGTGGTGCATTGGTACCCATCATGGGACCTATCTATTGTCTTGCAGGCTCTTACATTGCCACTGTTCAAGCCATTAAAAACAACAAGCCTCAGACTACTGACCTTCAAGGTGGCCTTCCTCATGGCCATTACCTAGGCCAGGGGGATTTCCGAATTAGTGGCACTATCGGTATGGAGGGACTTGTGTATCATATGTCCGGACAGAGTTATTCTCAGACTTGACCCGGCCTTTGTGCCTGAAGTGAACTCATGGTTTCACAGATCCCAAGAGGTCTTTTTACTGGATTTTTT